AGAATTCCCATATTCAATTTCGCCGGTATTCGAAAGTTAAACCGAACTACCAGTGTTCAGGGGTTTTGCGCGGACTACCCCCACTTTATTCACGTATGCATCAAGAAGATACTGCAAACACGTTACACATACGAAAATCATGCTCCCAGCCCGCTGGCCGGGATTCGAAAGTTGAACTGAACTGCCAGTGTCCAGCGGTTTTGAGCGGGCTGTACCCGCTTTATTAAAGTATGCATCCAGAATATACTGTATACACGACACGCATGCGGAAAATCACGAAAACACCCACAGAGCCAGCCCGTTGGCCTTTATTCCAAAGTTCGTCCGAACTACCAGCGTTCAGCGATTTTACCCGGGCTGCGCCTGCTTTATTCGCGTATGCATCCAAAAGATATTGCATACACGTTGCGGAAAATCATGAAAACATACATGGAGGCAGCCAGTTCGCGGGGATTCGAAAGTTGGGCTTATTTCCATGTGAGCATATATCTATGTGAGCTTTTTTCCGTGTGAGCATATTTCTAAATGAGCATTTTTTCATGTGAGCTTTTTTCTATGTGGGCATATTTCTGTGTGGGCTTTTGTCCTGTGAGCATTTATACCTGTGAGCATTATTCTGTGAGCATTTTCCCTGTGGGCTTTTTTCCTGTGTGGCATTTTTCCGGTCACCATTACAGCAACAATATAATGTTTAAATAAGACCAAATAATAAATTAAAACAAATGTAATTTTTTTAAAATCCTCAAGTGCTTTGATAAAAATGCCCAATGGAAATTTTTGCAAAGTCTCTAGACGAAAATAGTTCCACAAAGCAAATGTTTAATAAAAGTCCTTCAAGTTTTTCTTGATGAAAATGTATCCGCATATCTGCTAACTTTCATGTGGAAATATAACACAGAATTTATGATTAATGGAATAAGTTTTTATTGTGGATACACATATTTAATACACATATTTAATAATAATAATAATAATAATAATATAGTGTGAAGTTTCCAGTCTCAGCAGTATATTATCCAAAATTTAACTATAAATCAGGCCATTTGCTAAATTCAATGGCATTCTCCATCGCAATTTTTTTAATGTTATTTCTAGTGAATAAAGGCAGTTAAATATATTATGCTACTAAATTAAAAATGTCTTATAAACATGAAGGAGTTAGCCTTTCTAACCTCTTTGGAATGGGATTACAAGTTTTACTATAAGAGGCGTATTCTTGTGTCATTCTTTTTTTTACTAACCGCGCCCCTTCTGCTAAATATTACAAAAAAAGTTAATGTTTGGAAGAACTAAACTCTTATGTATTATTAATTAAAGATTTTTTCACTGTTTTCCCTCACGCTTGCTTAAATTTTCTCAAAATATAAATCTGCGAGCCCTTTTCTATGAAAAAGGGCTATACTAAACTTTAGCGACACCTTAATTTAAAAACTAGCCTACTATGAGATGCGCTGTGTTTTGCATAAAATGTTTTGAATTTTCAATTGAAAACCCATTATGAATATTTTGTAAATTAAAAAAAAAAAAAAAAAAAAAAAAAAAAAAAAAAAAAAAGCAGAATATATTTCTTTTTCTTTATTGCTTTTTATGTAGCGTTGAACGTACTTTTTGAAAATGGAAACTATATTTTAGTCCAAAAGACGTTAGTCCAGAAGGGCTATTAATTTTATTTTGGCATTTTGCGTAGACAACTTGAAATATCCGTTTCACATTTCAAATTGTTGCCACCAAATATGATCGCTCTGTGTTATATTTAAGTAAATTAAATCAAGAAGAAGCTGCGCAGATGTATGTTTCTTGCACTGTGATAAAACATCTTTACCTAGAGCCATCAAATTTTGAATAAACGTAATCCTCCACCGAATATGGGCATCTGGAAGCCCTAATTTGGAATTTGTTTTATCATCGATTTCATATTTTGTAATACCTTTAACTCTTTAACTGTCAAGTTATTTTGATGATTTGAGTACACAAATTGTCAAATTTTTTTATTGGAAAAATCAAATGTTTAGTACAAAATAAAATATACTTAAGTAGTTAAAAATTGATATTTTGAAGTACATGGGTAAAATTTTTGAAGTTTTGTAGCCACTGCATATTTGTTTGAGGCGGCTGCCACTCAATATGGCAGTTGTAAAGTTCGCTTCTAGTGCAGCATTATTTTCTAAAAATGGATTAAAAAAAAAAATATTTTCTGAAAAGTTGAAAAAAAAATAATAAATAAAAGTGAATATCTATTAGTAGTTCAGTAATTCAGTCTTGTGTGGTACAACTGGAAACATTTTTCCAAACACAAACCAACTCCACAATCACTACACCAGATTCGTGTTTCCTTCCTTACCTTTTCCCCTTTTCTATCTTTTTTCGAACAACACACTTTGCACTGTCTTGTAGGCTCACGTTTCACAGGAGAAGGAGGAATATGGGAAATAAAATGTCGTTCAGTAAGACGGGCAGGGTTATCTATTGTAGATGGTCTGCCAACATTCTTTTGCCCAGAAGCTGCATCATCATATTTATGTAAAAGCTCTTCTGCAACTTGGATTCGAAATTCTAAAAATGTAATACGTTTCCCAACTACACTTTTATAGAGCAAATATGAGTTCCAGAGTACCTTGTCTAGTAAATGTAAAAATATCTTTTTATGATATTATTTCTGACGTTTTCGGATTGTTGGATGAAAGGATATTTCCTACTCACAGCGATCTACACCACCCATAGTTAGACTATAGTCAGAAACAATCTTCGGCTTGAGTATATCTTCATTTTTTTAATTTTTGAGGCTGACCATGAAAACTGCTCGCAGAGTCGTTTTCAGCGCCCAGGGACAACTGAAGATTTCGCGCCCCCTACTGCTTGCTAAGGATGGAAAACATTTAATTCTAAAATGTCGTAACATCAGTTTGGCGCCCCTTGGATTCTGCGCCCGGCAACAGATGGCCTCCCTTACCTCCCTCTAGCTACGCCCCTGACTGCTCGTCAAACACACACCCTTCATCTTCGGTTGTGTGTGTATGTATTTAATTATGGCAAAGCACACTAGGGCTATCTGCCTAAGGGGAGGGATGCCTTCGTGGAGGACTTTCTAAGGTAAACTGGCTCGGATACACGTTACACATGCGGAAAACCACGAAAACACCCATGCAGCCAGCTCGTTCCCGGGATTCGAACCTCGGACCGAACTACCAGTGTTCAGCGACTTTACCGCTCGGCCGCTGGTGGGCCACCATCTTCGGTTGAAGAATCTAAATCATCTGTATAACGTTTCAAAGAGCTGGACGCCATTTTACAACAAAAAGATCACGTGCACTTTGAACCAAAGAACTTATAACCTCTAACCTTTGAAATCTTCAGTAAAGGTGCTGTCATCTATTGAATTGAGCGCACATTAACTTTTCCCGAGATACAGTGGGGTTTGACAAAGAGATGAAGCCGAAATAAACGTTTCCCGATATATATTCGGGTATAACAATACGATGCACTCAAAAAAAAATCACCCCGAGTAATCCTCGGGCGTGACATTTTCGAACACCAGTGCTGTCATGCCCGAGATAACTGTCATAATCTTGGGCATGACAGTTAAAATGTTAACGAATTTCTGATTAACAAACGCAACAATTTCAAAGCGAGCGATAGCTACGCTGTACGAGGAAACCATTTTTATCTCCAGTGCGCGAGATTGTTTTAAATGCGAAGAAAATTATATTTAATAAACAAAGGTAACACGCAAAACTTTAAAAAAACGCCCCTTTGGAGGTGTATGTAAAATCTGAAAGTTTTAAGTTTTATATTTTTACATTTCTCAACATGAGCTATAGATCTATACAGATACTAGTTTGGGATAATAAAGTTTGATAGGTTTCCAGTTAGTTCATCATCAATGCACTAGATGGCGGAACAATACAGGAACTGTAGTTTCAACTCTAGATGCTCCGCCCTTATTTCCCGCCTCGCATTAGAAATGCGTGTTCCCGCCAACCTGCAGAATTTCCAATTTGCTTTTTGACTTGAAAATAATCTATTTTTCTGGGCTCAGTTCTAGTTATTTCACTCTGCAGGCGATGGCCTGATTAACTGGTAAAAGTACATTTGATGAAGAAAATGAGCTTCCTTCAATCACTAAAAATGTTTCCAACTCAGAGCCCTGGAAGGTGTATCTTTTATGCATCCAATTAGAGGATGCGATCTAATTTTTCACTACTTTTTTTATTGATAACAGAATTTGTAGAACATGCATTCGCATTTTCATAAGATTCGCACATAGAAACTTTACAGGCAAGCAAAAAAGAATTGAATTGAGCAAAATGAACTGGATTTTTTTCTTTTTCTCTGAATGATAGAATTTGAAAAATATCGTTAAGGCGTGGTCAGGGGTGGTGCAAAAAACTGGTACGAAATTTTATCGGATTAATCATTCTGTTTAGGTGATATTTGCCAACATATAGGAAAAAAGATAGTGTCATATAAAAAAACTTATTCTAAAAACGTTTATTCCGTAAGGAAGATGCATAACATACGCCATTTATTAATTATACTTAATATAGAGTTGTAAAAACATCCGATGGTTTAAATAATAGTATGTCAGGCCTTACCAGATTTCAGTCAGCTTATAAAAAATGTAAGTTACTATGTTAATTGAAATTTACTATGTAAAAGTAAGTTAAGAAATTTATGAAAAATTCTTATGCTAAGGTTCTAGACGAGATTATGCTTCGAATATAAAATTGTCATTTGTCACCAACAGCAACTGCATTAATTTAAATTAAACAAATAACAAATTCCCGTCTGATTTTAGTAACATCCGTAAATAAATAAATTCAAACTAAAAAATGCAATACTTTTAGATTAATAAGTGAGATTAATTAATTCTTGACTGTTTATTTGAAGAAATGGTTCTAAGAATGATTAACCTCAAACAAAAACTAATATTTATAGTCACTATCTACCAGTTTTTGTACTGACAGAAGTAAATTTTAGATGTTTTTTCAAACTTTTTTTGTTATGTCTGGTTTCCCTTCAGCATTCGAGTTAATCTTTCGCCTTTTACTAAAGATTACCGTGGAGAGGAACATTACAATGAGCCTATACGAAATTTTTGGAATTCCGCCTAATGGTGGGGTATAACTAAAAAAAAGAACCTGACATGTGTAGTAACTGATTATGCGTAGAGTAAAATGTCTTGTTCGTCCTATTTTGCACATGATTAGTATTATGTAAATATACAGTGTCTCACAAAAGTGAAGGGACACTTGTGCTTTACAAAAGGAAACTGTAATAAAATAAATTAAAAAAGCATGTAAAAATTTTTTGTGGGTGTGTTTCATACTTAAATTTAGTAACAATTATTACTGAAATCTTATCTCAATTGAAAGTAATCCTAAATGATTTCCTGTAAAGTGAAATCGCATCCTAGCAAAATAAAATCCATAAACATGAATTTCGCTAAGTAAATTCAAGGAAGTGATAGCAAAGAATCTGTAGGGAGTTAAGTATATGAGAATAATCGAGTAGAATCTGAAACAAACACATAAAATTATTGCAAGGTGATAGAATAAAATAGTTCTTTAAAAGAAAGGAATTTGATAGTAAGCACTTTAGATTAAAAGGAGAAATAAAAATATAATTTAAATGGAATTAGATGACAAATTGAAATCAAAATACTGAGAAAAATTTATTAACTAGTGTTTTAAGAAATAGAATAAAATTAATGAACGTATAATTAATAAAAATTATTCCCGAGCATTCAGCGCAAGTGAAGTAAGGAAGGGCCACACCTGGCCTTCGCGGAGCCAGGGATAAATCTCGTTAAGTCCCGTGGCGGAGCACGCTTTGGGAATCCCCCAGGGCTAAAGATACTTTGACATGGACCTTATAAGAGATAGACCAACGCCACCTTGGATAGACTAAACCAGTGGGCGGGGCGTGCGTCACCGACATGTCCGCAAGAAAGAGTAGGGACGATCTGGTTTACTTTAACACTGAAACCTATAACGTTTGTTATCACATAACTGTTTTTAATTATTAAATGTAGTACGTTGTATAGTGATGAGATTATGAAAGTCACAGTTAAAGCACTTTTTACTGCATTTCGCGCATTTTTTTCACGCATAATTCTTGGTAAAACGGTAAAAACTCTAAGCACAAAATTTATGAACCTAATATTGCGTAAAAATTAAGTAAAATTTAATAAGGTTGATAGTACGTGATGCTTATAAAAAATAAATAACGTAAAATTAAACGAGATCGGATAATTTTTTTAAAAAAATTTAATGACCATTTTCAGGCAAGCGATTTTCAAATATAATACAAAAAAGATTATTTATTTGATTATATCATCATTAAATTATTAACATTAAAGTGGATTTATTTTAGTAATTTATAAAAATTCGGAGCATAAAATTTTCTGAGTGTAATGAAGGGGGGGAAAAAAAAAGGTCAAAATAAAAATCTAGAAGCACTTAAGATATTATATTACGCCCAAAAGGAACCTTTTTTTAACGTTTTGTGTGTTACCTATATTTATTGAATATCATGTTCTTCGCCCGTAAACCACATACATTTGAAAACAGCATATCTTTAGAATTTCCGCACTGGAGATAAAATGTTATTTTCCGTACAGTGCTCGCTCTGAACTCGTTGAGTTTGTTAATCAAAAATTCGTTAAAGTTTTACAAAATATGAAATAGATTAAAACAAATTCGAAATTCGGCCGTCCAGATGGCACCATGTTCGGGGTGGAAGATTACATCATTCAAAATTTGATGACTCTAGATACCGGCGGTTTTTTTGTCACAGTGCGAGAAACATACATGTATTCATGCAGATTCTTCATTATTTAATTTCTTTAAATATAAAACAGGGCGATAATATTTGGTAACAAAAATTTTCAAGGAGACACGGACATTTATAGTGAAACAGCGCAAAATGCCGCTTCGAGCTAATAAATTAAATTAACAGTAAATAAAAAATCTTATGCAGAACTACAAATAAATTTAAAAAATAATTACTATAAAATACAAGCAAAATTAATTATTACTGTTAAATACAATTTTAATATTAAAATTAAATGTATAAAAATTAAGGATTCAAAGTGTTTATCACTATGATGTATTATGAAATATAATTGAAATAAAATTCCTTTATAGAAATTGTGCTATAATACTTATATATAATGTTTTCACAATTTAGAATTTTAAACAAAACTCAAAAATTCGTTATTAAATATTTTAATATTTTTTACTTATTTACACCAATAAAAAATTGCAAGAGATTATTGCTTGTTTGAAATTTCTATTAGTTCAGATTTAAAATATTATTTTCTAAAAGAAGTAGCTACAAATTTCCTTACAGCATAGGAAAAGCTAAAAAAATATCTAGCCCTGAAAGCATGCAGTAGCTTTATAATTATTTGGAACGCTAATTATGCTTGATAAATATGCTAAATTTTTAAAAATCAATTTCAGTTTCAAAAATAAAAATACAGAGAAATTCTAATTTGTGAAATGAGGCGCTACAACCAGCTTTTTCTTGACAATTATACACACTGCAACAGGCAACCACTGTTAAATTTCTGCAAGTCGTCCCTACTCCTCCGGATGTGATCAAGGTGACAGCCGGAAACGTGGCAGACGAGGGAGAAGACCCATTTGTGTTGGTCAATTACTTTAATAAGGATATGTACTTTGATGCTTTAGTTGCCTTCATGGTGTTCAGCAGGTATTTACCCTGCTCTTACCAGAGCTTATCACCGAATCCCACTAGGGTCCTCTCACATAACGGCTCTTCATGATTGTTTCACCATAAAGATGTGAACACTTGAGATTAATAAGATGTGACACGTTGTCTCTGCAGACTCGTTGGCGGTGAGAGGGGTCAAGTCCAATCAGGAGCCAAAAAATAGTAATTTGCATCCTACTACGCAAACGTCAAAGGTAGTAAAGTCCTGAGTATGCTTTTCAATACAGTTAATTTGAGTAAAATACTCCTAGCATGTGGGCTGGGCGGAACACATACTAGGATTGATAACAGAATTTGAAGAACATGCATTCACATTTTCATAAGATTCGCACATGGAAACTGTACAGGTAGGCAGAAAAGAATTGAATTGAACAGAATGAACAGGAAATTATTTTTTTTCTAAATGATAGAATTATTTTGAAAGAAGTCGTTAAGGCATGGTCTTAAAAAGGACAATCTGCTGCTGATGTCTTGGCTCTGCATTTTCTGACTTTTGAAGAAATGCTGCGTAGGGCCTGATATTAATGTCCTCATCCAGTATTTTATAGGCAAAGATGTCCGAAAGGCAGGCTGACGTATTTCTGATGGCCTAGTAATAAAATTTTGAATTTAGTCTGTGCAGAAACCAGGAGAGTAGCTCAAATTTCAGGTAATCGTGAAGACTTTTATTTCGTACAAAGTTCGGGGCTCCAGTGATAATCCCGAGAATCTTATTTTGTATAATCTGCAGAGACTGGATATCCTTTTAGCTGGCATTTGTCCATCCTTTTAGCTGGCTAAGGAGATAAGACACATGGAGATGTTCTTGCTGCCAACTGGAAACCAAAAATGGTGGAAAACATAGCCTTAATAGGCGTGGCTTAGAAAAAGTAATGCGCATGTGCGAGCTTCTTTAGACAATGACACTGAGTTTAAAGTGCTTGCCTAGGTGCTTTACAATACCTATAAAGGGAAGCTAGTACATGTTGCCAATTTTGATATATAAATAGATAAATTCAGGTAAACTCACTGAGTTTCCTGTGTCTGTTGTTTATTAATACCGAGAAACATTTCATTTGTAAAATTTAATGTTATTTTTCATAGTAATTTTTTAAATGCCATTCACAAATGATAAAGTTAACTAAATACATTATATTTTTACACTTAAAAACATAATGGAGGTGCTCCTCACTACCAGGATATACGACAATAAATCTGGCAATCAGAACCGTCTATCTGTGGTAATTTTTATTGACCACGCCTCTTCATTCAGATGTTACTAAAATTCTTAGCATTGAAAGAACTAAACTTCTATATAATATTAATTAAGATCTTTATCACTGTTTTCACTACTACCGGAATTTCAGCTGTAATGAAATCTAAATCTGCCAGCTCTGTAATTCCTAGTTAGAGACCATAACTTCCAACTTTAGCACCACCTATCATGCACTAAGCCCCGCTTATCATGAGCAGTCGAGGGTCGCCTCCAAAGAAAAAAACACACCCAAAAGGAATAGCACTCCTATTTCCAACAGATGGCGCGCGCGGCGATATGTTATGCTTTTCATGTCATTAATGCTGACATCAATGACATTACACGTCGGCTTAATTCTTTTTCGATCGTCTGTTTTTGTGTACATATTTTTTTTTGTGTCGACATGTAAGAATTATCAAAAATAAAAGTGTTTTCTACAAAAATTAGGCTTCAAATAGTGTTTGATGACTTTTCTACCTCTTAAAACTTGCCTCGGGAAAAAAAAAAAAAAAAAAAAAAAAAAAAAAAAAAAAAAAACCTTTGAAAGAAAAAAAGGTAAGTGAAATCTTTTTTCTTAATTTAGAATTTTGAATTGAAAATTGTTATAGTTTTTGAACATGACATCTCTACCGAGACACTGAGTTTAATTAATTAATTTTAAACCGAATAATTAATAATACTGAAATCGAAACTAGGAATAATTTTGAAATAACTTGAATGTCGAGCTTGTGTTTATTTTATCATTGTGAAAAATTGAAGTAAACATTTCGAATTTATAGGTGAGTTGATAAGGTGATTTGACATTGATAAAGTGAATTGTGTTTTGCATACATTCGAATAAATTGATTTTTACTGAAAATTTTTATCTTTTGAACCTAATTTGAATTTACAGTATTCTGGAAATTCACATATGTTTTAAAATAATAATTATATTAATATCATGTAAGTTATTAAAAGGGAAGCGCAAATCACTGAGAACTGTCCCTAAGTTAGTTAATAGCTGGCTTAAAGGTTTTAGAACCTGAGTTATCAACACAGAATTAAATGCTAGATGAGCTTATAGAAATTCTCTCCATTAAATTTGAGCCTCTACCCTTAGTGAATCAACAGCTTAAGCCACTTTTGAAGCCTGGGAAATCTGATATCGAA